GAAAGGCAAGGGTTAAGGTTGAGGAAACACCTGCTTGTGCGGAAGCATTCTTCTGGTCGATTTCACCCATTCCTGGAGCTTGCCGAACCGAGCTTTACCTGGCCACAGTGGTCAGAATCGAGACGGGAGAGCCCCCTTCAAAGGGAAACCAAAAGGAAAACCATCAGTCAAGCTTCATGCCCGCAGCTTCCTGATTGAGGAAGGAGCTGGGATCAAACACATGGTCCAAAACCAAAACACCCAAATCTCATGGCCAAGACGCAGGAAGCTGTCGATGGCATCGGTCCCGTCATCCGTCTCCAGGGTCTTGATCAGCACTTGGTTGCTGCCGAAGAGCATGGTCACCACGTTCCTGACATGGCCATGGGTGAAAGTCCAACTCGTACCCAGAGAACATCCGATTCAATCCCCACCAAAATCGGTTCCAAAATGGAGGGGGGGGGTTGGGGGAAAGGGTCCGGCGCCCAATTCCAGGGGTTCCGGAACCCAAGTCCTGGAAGGGCCCACAAAAGCGCGGACTGCTGGCGTGCCACGAGAAGTGTCTTAAGGGGGTGGGGGGATTAGACAGTCTCTCCCAGAAAAAGGCAGTTTTGAGGGGGTGGAGATTTCGAGGTGTCTGGGTCGCGAGCTTTGGTGTTTGGGGAACGCTTGAACTGCAGTCCATGACTCAGTTGACCCAATCTAAAAATGCTTGCATCTGCTAAGAGCCATGTGCCCCAGATCGTCTCTGAAAAATTCTCAACGGCTCCCGCCACACCCACCCTGAAGCCATATATAGCAAACACACACACACACATGGCTCGGCGCAGACCAGACATGCCCAAAAAAAGTAAAACACCACAACTCAGTTTGGTCACGTTCTTGGAGACAGGTTAGTCAAGCAAGTTGAATAACACCTTGTGAAATAGGGCTTCCAGCTGTGGGAATCCATATCCACGAAGAATACAATGATCGTAAGCCATAAACCCCAGGTGGTTGCAAATGACAGGCATGGATGATAGGCTAACATCTGGAGACAACAACAGGAACCAACATTGATTGGGCTAAACATACTGTGGATGGACGAAATCCTGCACCACTTGGAAACCATGGGAAACCGGTATTTATAGGGGATTCATCATTCCAGGGTTTCTTAGGTGGTGCAGGATTTCGTCCATCCACAGTAGGTCAACATTGGTTGAACCAGACCGAAACGACCACAGAATTGGTTGCAATATGCGGGGAGGCTTCCTGAAGTAGAGGTAGAGGACACACAGACATGGTTTGTTTGTTGAGTTCCCTTCGGCCGTCCGAAAGCTTGTCAAAATAAGAAACCCTTCAAGCAATGGCACTTCCTTTTCGCTTCCCGTCCAAGCCATCCAAAAGGGTACTCTCAACAAAACACAGACCCTCCAGTGAAGATGAATTTTGTGGGGAGTCATGTACATCCACCACATTTGAGACAGTTCCTTATTGAAATACACGGCAATACCAACCTGGGCTGCCCTCAGATCCCCCGCTAAAAAGTCTAACTTTTAGTGGGTTAAATGGAAACTACCACTAAACAATAAAAAACTAAAAAGCTAAAGACCGACCTCTTTGAGTCCCATCTGAGGTTCAGCAGCATGATGCCCCCACTCTGTGACCTCAGACGAGGCCCCAAGCAAAAGGCGGCGCAGGTTGTAAGACAAATAACGGATGTCCACAAATTTGTGTTTTTTCATTGTGGCCTCCCGCGAAAAACCAAGGAAAAGGGGCTGCCCTTCAAAAAAGACAGACACAATCGAGCAGTGCCCAAAGCCATTTGCTTTGGGTTGCCTGTTGAAGGTTGACATGGCCCTATGATCCCAAACTAGACTAACCCCTTTAAATACTAGATTGGCCGAGGGAAGTTTTGGGTTCTCAATTCCAATGCCGACTTCCGCGCTTAACTGAGAAAAGGGGTTACCCCCATCTATGCCAAAGCATGATGTCTCCTCCCTACTAAGAAACAATGCGTTGGACATCCCATCTATGTGCAGGAATCCTCTCCCACACTTATCCCATGAACTTGAGGTTCACGACATGAATCTCAGCCACTTGAAGAAGAGCGGCTTTATGAGGCGAATAGCGGAGATGGAGTAATACGATATGACACAACCTGTTTGTTTCAAACAGGGCTGGACTGTGGGAAACGCCCACTTCTGTGACACAAGAAAAGGTCCCCCAAAGACTACCCCGCCATGTAAAGAGGGGATTCCCTTGTATCACAGAAGTGGGGATAAACCCATTGATCCCACAACCTTGGGCTGATGAAATAGGATTTTGCAGGACTCGTCCTTGAACGTGTTGTTTCAAAGGCCAGAGAAAATGCGGTTGGCCAGACTCGGCACTTTCCACCTCAGACCAGCTAGCAAAATAGAGCTTCAAGGAAATGGACCTAGATATAGCAATTGTGGGTCGGCGACTCACCAGGACTCACTGTTCGCATCCTTCGATTCTGAGTTCTGAGTACTTAACCGCGCGCCAGTCAAAGGCTTACTGTGTTTACCCTACTTGGCAGACTCCCTGATACACAGAGCACACACAATGGCACCAGGATTCAGCAAATGTGCTCTATGTGCGTTAAACCCAGTCAAATGCAACTGTATGTTGACTATAATAGTAACAGTACAATTTGTGTTTTTGTTCACATTCTTTGTTTGAAGGGTTCTTATCAGGGGCACGATGTGCCTCAAAGGGCACACTGATACCTCAGAAGAGACTCACAACCACAGTGTTCTACCTTGAAAAAGATATTGTTGAGCAAAGCCGTCTGAACAAAACAATCAATCGATCCGAATTTGGAAATTTCCTCCGGAAACGCTTGCACACAAACTGCTGAACATCAAAAGCAGCTTCAATCAAATGGGCAAGGAAACTGTTGCACGGGGGTTTCTGACCCTGCCATCCGCTAACAGAGAACCTGACTAAAGGTCCTGGAAGACTTTTTTCCTCAAGACACCCTGTGAATTTGATGCTTAGCCGGGGTATTCGGAAGATGTGAAACTTCTAGTTTGTGACTCAAAACAACACACCTCAGTTTGCTGCCATCCTCAAGTCCCGCAATTGGCGTCTCACTTTCTCAGCCCTGAAAAAAAAAGACGAAAGAGCCCAGCGGACGTTGGAGACCAGGAGCCCGATGATGACCACGATGACCATGATGTCCAGGAACACCGTGCCGAATGCAGTAGAGGACTGCACGCTGGAACTCACCTGCAGAAGCTGGCCACCCCAAGCTTGGTTGATGTTGTCGACCAACATCGCTGGCCAGGTCCTCCAGTACAAGGGTGTGGTGTACTTCAAGCCCTGTGAAGCAAATGCCCACGACTTCCACACGAACCCCAAAAAAACGCAGGCCGCAAAACGAACACCCTGAAAAAAGAAACACACCCTTTCGGGCACGAATTCGCGGGTGGACTAGATTCGGTAGACATCAGGAGAAAAACAAAAAACAAAGTACGGATTTTGAGGGTGCGGAAGCCAAGAAACGGGTGGTGTCGTGCAGGAACTGTCTGAACTGTCAAGTTCTGCTGCACCTGCAGGGGCCAAAAACGGAAAACGTCGCCAAATGAAGACTAGGTCCTCCAGTAGAGAGGTTAGAATAAGGCTACCAACTCTTTTCTGTAGTCTATTGTAGTAGGGGGAACCCTCCCAACCAAAAAGGGTAAAAGGGCACTACTGGGGCATGGTTTCCTTTCAGCACTCTGTTGCTCCTTTTCAGCCCACAGGAATCCAGGACTGGGGCAAGGCCAACAGGCACACGCTCATATCACATGCTTCGCTGCATTTGAAGAACGCACAAAGAAAGCAGCAAATGGGATAATCTGCCGCACGCGCCTGCAAAAAAGAGACATCCGGCAAATCCAGTCTGTTTGTGCACGAAGAGTCATCTTCGGCAGCCAGGCACCATGAAACGATGCCAAAGGCCTCGGCCCATCCGCCACAGTCAGAGCTATGGAAAGGTCGAGGACTACGCTACGGGAATACCATCGCACCAGATATGAAAGCGTACCACCGACTAGAAGACGACTTTCCTCTCCTAGGTCCTCCAGAGGTTAGAATAAGGGTACCCTTTTTTCTGTAGTCTATTGTAATAGAGAGGGCCCAAAAAAAGTTGGTAAAAGGGCACTAGTGGGGACCTAGTCTCAATTGGGGTCCCGGTGCACTTCGTGGGCGTGAAGGTGCCGGTACCCCAAAAGCCACAAGGTGCGGCGTCTTGGGCGATTTGGGCTACAAGGGTAACCCGTGCGACTGAGGCAGGCGCCAACAGATGGAACTTGGCCATGAAGAGCATGGGGTTCGGTTAAGCAACACATTGATGCAGAGATCTTGAGCCAAGAAAATGCAGAACATGCAGGACTCTTCTCCAGACCAACCCGGCGCTCTGCCAAAATGTGGCCGCAAAGATCCGCAAAGGATAGTCTGGCACAACTGGGCTGCCCCCAGATCCCCCGCTAAAAGTCTAACTTTTAGTGGGTTCAATGGAAACTACCACTAAACATTAAAAAATAAAAGGATAAAAAGCTAAGGAACCGGATGGCCTTCGGGCGCCACCAAGACAACTGCAACATCTGATTTGCAAACCTGAGGCCAGAGCTATTACCCTGGATCAAAGCACGGGTCCAGCGTACACGTCTATGATGCCGAGCCTCACATGCGGCTCCTCATCGCTTGACTCAAACCTGAAGTCTGCTGAAAAGCGTGTGCCTCAAATCCTGGGTTTTCTTTTGGTTTCCCAACTTTTCCCGATTGATCCGACATCCGACACACAAAAAGGGGCTTCCGGCAAAAAACAACAAACCCTCCAAATAATTAGGGCAAATATCCGCACCTATGGTTAGGACAGCCTACGAACGTTCATCCGCTTAGGTTTTGATTGTGGCCCACATGCCGTGTTTCAGTGTCACCATGACTTAACAGCCTAATAGGACGGTTTGAATGTGAGTCACCAGACAAAGGCACGCACTCCGTAGGTAAGACCCCGAAGACCGATGTAGGATGCAGCAGGTCTTTCGGTGCGGGTCCCGCAGTGACAGAAAACGACTGACAGTGATGTCTGATAAGGGGAAAAGAAGGTGGCGTGACGATGTTTGACCAAACTCTGCCGAGCGGGGTAGAGTATCAGAAAAGGAGAGACTAGCGTCAGAAGCCGGCAAGAAGCTTTTCTGGCGGATGGTTTGGCAATCCTGGCAATCTTGGGCGCCAAGCACTTGAGCAGCGCCCAAAACCCGTTGATTCGTGTGTCTCTCCCAGCATCTTACTGGTACGAACCGAAGCACCTACAAGCACAGCCGGCGGAGCCGGGGCCGGAAGTTTCAAAAAGTGTCATAATTGTTTGGTTGCTCAGCGTGCTTGATTGCTTTGTTACTCACTCACTGACTCACTCGCTACGTACTTAGAACCTACCTACCTACCTACTTACTTGATGACAGACTGCCTTCCTTGCTCAGCTCAGTTACTTACTTGAGTTGAACCTTAGGTTCCCTTTTCCACCGTACACGGCAACTAGCGTTTGGCTCGCTAGGAACATCCAAAGGCAAGAAGGAAGAGAGTAATGATAACCCTATATTAATCAGCCCCAATTTATTTGCAAGGGGTGGGGGCCCCTCCAAAAGTGGTCTGAACCCATGGACACCCCCGAATTTAATAAACTGGGGTTGGTTCATATGGGGATTGACCAAAAGGTCCTTTGGGATGCCAAAAACGATGTCTTTCACCAAGTGGGGAAAAGCTACCCATGGTCGTTTTATGGCCGAAGACAAATATCGATCAATTCCCATACGGGGTCAACAATAACTCGGTTGCTTTCTGCTCCCCTGCCAAAAGTTGTTAACTTTTAGTGGTTTAAGGCAAAACATGGCAAAACCCATTTGGCAAAAAGTTGTTCAGTCCTAACATCCCTTGGACAAAAAATGCAAAGATAAGCCATTTACCCAGATTGGGGTGCCAACCCGAAAGACCCACCAACATTTGCACCCAAGTTGTCCTTACCCAAAGATAACTTCATAAGATAACTTCATAAGATAAGCCATAAGTTTTCTTTACCCAAAGCCATAAGTCTGGCCATGACACGATGGCTTCCATGGAGAGCACGTCTGGACGTCTGGACGTCCGGCGCCGCGGCAAAGACCGGGTTGCCCTCGGCTTGGGCAGGTCCAGACCGTGCAGCCTCCACCAAAAACAAGCAAACACAAAGACAACGAAAATAAACAAGTAACGAAAACACAAACAAACACGCAGACCGGCGTAAAAACAACTAAGCAAACAACCATCGTGCCAATAACGGTGGAGAAACAAGTACGCGCCGCCCGGCAGCAAACAGCGAATCTCTGCCACTGCCCCGGAGGGCGCCGACACCGAGAAATTCGTCAGCGTGCACCTCAGAAGGGTCACCAAAATTGAAGATTGGGCACTTCTCTTCTGTCAGGTTCCCCTGAATTGGTGGTTTGGAGTGGTGGTTTGGGACCCTTTCACCCGTGCTTCCTCTAGAGGGTTTACGGGGAAACCCCTCCCAATTCAAGCCACCAAGTGGAGGAAGCTGATATCTTCGAGGAGGGAAACGAGGGGATGCTTAACTGTCAAAGGACTCCGGTGCCGAGCTCCTCCCCCTCTTCATCTCAGTGGAAAGGGCGCATGTGAACTTCCATGTTTCTGGGAGGGCAACCCATGTGTCCACTCAATACGGTGAATACGATACTCACTCTCGAACACATTCTAATTGGAGACCCAAAGCAAGCGAGCATCTTAAATGATCACGCGTTTTGATGCCTTGTTGAATAATTGAATCTTAAACCCCCTCTGAAACCGAAAAGCAAAAACAAAACCATTGAAAACAAAAACACTGGTGCACGCATCAACCGAGCACTTGCATCTTCAGCGAACTGGGCCCCAGGACCTCCACGGCGAATTCCCGTTTCCATCGTTCCCGCGCGGCGCGCGTGTGAGGCTGTGCTGGAAATGCTGTGAAGGCGGTCCCCTCTGCCTGTGTTGCTTCCCTGTGGGAACCAAATAATGGGGAACCCTGTTTGAAGGCATTCTCGAACAGGATCGGTGAAAACAGTGGCTTCGCAGACTCAATTGCATTCTCGTAGCGGACAATATTGCGCAGGGTTCCTTCCATTGTCTTAAGCTTCCTGAGAAAAGTCATATTTCCAGTAGTGATCGATTCCCTTAAAAGCCAACAAGGAAAAATCAGCAATATGTCCTAAGCAAATGGAAGGCTCGGTGTTTGGTAGCCCCCTATCCGCTTCTGGCCATGTTGTCAGCTACTCGAACATGGAACGTGTTCTCCGCCTCTCACGGCATAAAGGTGGGGGGGTTGCTCTTGTTGGGTGTGGAAAGCCAAATTGAGCAGCTGGGGTCGCGCAGGTTGCTGTCTTTTCCTTGTACCAAGGTGCCAATTGTTGGGGAATCAATTGTTTGACCCACGGCCTCTTGGGATTTGAAACTGCAGGTGAGCGTCAACGGAACACCCGCACACCCGCTGGAAAGCCCTGCACGGCCTGAACCTCCAAACCCGGGCCGCCCCCTTAGAAGTATCACGGACAGGACCCTTCTGGTGTAACAAGCTCCCCTCTACCTCAAGACTGTAAGGGGAAGGGGGTGGGGGGGCCCCCAATTCCATTTTTAGGAGGGATGTAACAAGCCACCAGTTGGCAGCGTTTGTCGCACCTTTTCAGAACATCAAGCAAATCGCCTCGAAGCAATGCGGATCTCTCAAGCCACCGCCTGAAGCACTAGCATGCAGAGTCCACTTGAAACAACCAAACGCAAGGCCTGACAGGTTGCAAGGCCATACAACATGTGAGTCACAATCAAAACCCTGTATTAAAAATGGTCCACCCAGAACCATGCTTCAAGAATTAAGAAGGCGGCCGCAGCTATTTATAGTTGGGATTGTCCCTGGCTAACCTTCATCTACCCGGGTTTTGAGCGCGTGGCTCATGTCGCCAAGTGGACAACGCTATGGTACAAGCGTGCACGCCGCATGGGGCAAAGGTGCATTTTGCAGCTTCACCTCTGGCACTTCCGTCGCTCGCCCTCTCTCTCGCCCTGCACGACGCGGGCAAAGCGCGTCTGCCAGCCATTGTGGCCGAGCGGTTTCAGCGATCACCCCGTCTAGTTTGCATCCTTGGGGCTGCCGACCCATGAGACACTCTATGGGAAGAGCGGCCTTTGTTCATGATACGCCTTCCATACATCCCGGGGGGCGTTGCCAGCCTCCCTAGCAAGTAAGATCAAACCCATCGCATAGAACAAGCCAAGTCTCAAACCGGCTGAATCTACGGCCCATGCGTTCCGTCAAGCAATCTGCGCGTGCTAGTGAATCCAGTGCTTCCCTCAAAAAAGTGTGGCTTGAATTAGTGGCTTGGTGGTGGAGGCGTAGGTGTGCCTTTAACAAAACTGACGGCTCTGGTAAATGGAGTAAACCTGATCTAAACCAGTGCCATCTTTTTCGATCCAAACTAACCCAAAAGGCCACCTATGAGTGGCACAAGAACCGGGGTTCTAAACCCCGAACCACACAAATTCAGGGTTACTAAACGAAAGTTGGTTTGCGCGGCATGTGCTGCTAATCGCCTGACTGCACCTCGGGGCCCGGAGAGTGTTGCGTATGGTCGGCCTTCAAGCCTCCCAGGATTTCGAGTGTTTCCTCAACCTGGGATTGCGAGTTAGGACTTCAATCCAGTTGTTTTTGGGGTAACGAGCGCAATTTTGGGGTAGCAACCTGGGATGGCGCGTTTCTCGAATGTTTCGTGCTCAAGCGCAAAGATGTGCCTTTGCCACCTGGTGCCTTGTCCTTCGCAGAATCGAGTACGGGTACGCAGAAAGAATTCGAGCACGGATGCCCGATGTAGCCCTTGTAAACCTGTATACCTCTTCTAGAGGTCAGTGTTGCTCGTGCCCATCAAAAAAGGCTTTCGTGAGGCCGTGCCTAAACAGAAAAGCACTCTGACACGGCGACAAAACAAAGATCCACGCCCATGTCATGCCCATACCCGCCTGCACACACACACACAAATACCACACACAAATGAAACAAATAAGCGAGCAAGCAAGCAAGCAAGCCAGCAAGCCAGCAAGCCAGCAAGCAGGCAGGCAAGCAGGCAAGCAGGCCAGCAGGCAAGCAAGCAGGCATGCAAGCACGCAGGCAAGCAAGCAAGCAGGCAGGCAAACAAAACGCACAAATGCACACACCCACGCCACGCAAGCACGCACGCCACGCAAGGCCGCACGCCACGCGCGCGCGCACGAAGGCGGCACGCCACGCGCGCGCGCACGAAGGCGCCACATAACACACACAGACACACACACAGACACACACACAGACACACACACAGACACACACAGACACACACAGACACACACAGACACACACAGACACACACAGACACAGACGCACACAGACACACACAGACACACACAGACACAGACACACACAGACACACACAGACACACACAGACACACACAGACACACACAGACACACACAGACACACACAGACACACACAGACACACACAGACACACACAGACACACACAGACACACACAGACACACACAGACACACACAGACACACACAGACACACACAGACACACACAGACACACACAGACACACACAGACACACACAGACACACACAGACACACACAGACACACACAGACACACACAGACACACACAGACACACACAGACACACACAGACACACACAGACACACACAGACACACACAGACACACACAGACACACACAGACACACACAGACACACACAGACACACACACACACACAGACACACACAGACACACACAGACACACACAGACACACACAGACACACACACACACACACACACACACACACACACACACACACACACACACACACACACACACACACACACACCCACCCACCCACCCACCCACCCACCCACCCACCCACCCACCCACCCGCACACCCGCACGCGCACGCGCACGCGCACGCGCACGCGCACGCGCACGCGCACGCGCACGCGCACGCACACACACAAACACACAGACACACAGACACAGACACACGCAGACACACACAGACACACACAAACACACACACAGACACACAAACACACACACACACACCCACACACACACACACCCACACAACCACACAACCACACACCAACACACCCACACACCCACAAACCCACAGACCCACAGACCCACACACCCACACACCCACACCCCCAGACCCCCACACCCCCACACGCCCACACGCGCACACGCGCAGACGCGCACACGCGCACGCGCGCACACGCGCACGCGCACGCACACGCGCACGCAGACGCACACGCGCACGCACACGCACACGCACACGCACGCACACGCACACACACACAGAGAGACACACACACACACACATGGGCACACCCAAATGCACTGATGCAAAAGCACACACATGGTCGGGTATTTGTGGAGTCAATCATCTGGCACCTAGCCCGTTTGTTCCAGGGTTGCCTTATCTTTTCACTGCTCAGTTCTTGGTCATTCCGGTCAATAAGCATGATGCAAGCCTATGGCCCAATGGCTCACACCCAAAGTAGTCTACGTGCGGCACGCCGGAACTGAAGCCATGAGGGGAAACTGAGGAGTGACCCAGTGCTGAACAGCTGATTGACAATGCAACCTGCAACCTCGGTAACGTAATGCACATAGGGAAGGCACCCGGCAGTTTCGTTCATGTGGCCACTATGCCCCCTCTTTCCATACACGGAGTCTATGGTGCGCGGTGATGTCGTGATATGCGTCACCACTAGGGAGATGGCACAAAGTATGTCCGAAGAGTCCTTGGGATGCTCGCCACTTCGAACGCGCTGCAAGAGCAAGGCCGATCAGCCAGGGAAATTGAAGAAGCTCACCCGGTATGTGTGGGCATCAGTTTCAATTTCAATCTCCGAATGGTCCCAATGCATTCTGCCATTCAACTTCCTGCCACGGGCCAACCCAAAGGAACCTGTTGAAAACCAGAAATGGATTCCTTTGGCATTCGCCGGCAGAGGTCCTTTCTGAACCTCCGCGATTTACCAAACTGGCCTCCGAAAACTTCGTGCGCGCCGGCGCGAGCAGCGCTTGAGGGCACGGTAGCTACATCGTAGGTGCCGGAAACCATGGTTCCGCGTTTGAGACAGCCATTCCAAATATTATAGCAAAGCGCTTGGCATAGCACGGGAAAATATAAACAAGTGTTTGGTTGCTTCGATTGGGCTTCTATCCTGGGGTGCAATAGTGCGACATAGTGATTGCTCGACTGGTTGTGCGAATAAGAACCACATGTTCTGCTGCATTCTACCCGGCTCCTTTTCAGGGGAGGGCCATGGTTCAACCGAGTTCATAGTTGCATACTATGAAGTGGAGGCCAGCAACTCACATACCCGAGCTCCATGGGTCGTGATGCGGGGAGCTCCGTGCTCTATTCTGTGTGTGGAGGTGCAGCAGCAAAGGAGTCCCTAATCTATTCGAGGCGTGCCAAGCTCTGCCATGTGCGTTACAGAGCACTTTTGGGCCTAAACCAAGAAACAACCCTGGATTTTGATCCAAAGAGGAATCAGAAGAAAGCGATTGGAGTCTCCTGAGGGCTAGAGAAGCGTCCAAAGCCAGCAAATGTCCCAAAAAAGGCGCTGCCCGCGTGGGCTCTGTACATTCGGCGCAAAAAGTTCAGGGCAGTGATGCAGCCCGGAGGATGACAAGGCCTCGCGAGCCGTCTCCCAGAGACATAACAAGGGGAGTCATGGGAAGGTGTTTCTCAAATCTCCTTAATAGCCCCTACTAGCCACTAGTACCCTTGCTATGGCTCTGACTCACTTTAGGTTTTCGGCCGCCTTTACGGGAATGAACCCCTGAACATTGCCTTGTAAATGGTAATTTCCTTTTATATTGGTGGAAAAAGCTATGTTTCAAATAAGCAAAATGCATCTTTTAAGGAGCCCTGACAAAGCATTCATGCAAAACACAATCCAAATACAAGTTCCCATCTCCTTGGCTTCCTTTTGCATTTCTGGGCCATTTCGTCCGCAGCTTCTTGTACCACACAAAAAATGAGTGCCAAATGCCGGCTGCAAGGGATCGGAGCCGGACCCTAGTTTCTTCCTTTTGGGCAAGTAGATGGCGCTGCCAAATATTACAACCAAACTGAGCTATGTCCAAGCAGAAAGGACCGCTGTGGAGTGGAAAGTGACCGGAATCCGGTCGGCTACATGTTTTCAGCGTCCCCAGATTGGACATGATTTGACATGGCCGGGATCTGTTGACCATTTTAGGTGCTGGCAAAACAGTGGGCGAGTAGTAGTTCCGTCCAAGCTGGCCAAATACCAAGAGTTCATTTGCGCTGCTTGATTTTTGATTCACCTGGGGGCTGCCCAAAACGGTTGCCTGTTTCTTATTGCAACTGCAGACATGCTGCCATTTGCACACCAACACCAAAAAGCCCGTCGCTTTTGCTCAACCACAGCTCATAAGCGTTCTGTGGCT